TTGGGTTGTCCAGGAAATTATGCAGGATTTTTAGTTTTCCTTAAAATATCCCTCTATATAACAAACTGTTAACATTACTGGAATATTCATTTGTATGAATGTCAACACTTATTAATCTTCTTCCAAATGCTTATGTTTGTTTACCTCTGTAGCATTTTGCTAATAATTCAGTCTTTACTAACATTTTAATGCGTGATTTTCAAATAATATTGTTTTACGACTTAAAACTCAGCCGGAATGGGGGGGAGGGGCTGACGGCAAGAAAAATCAATCAAGTCTGGGATGAGAGCAGCATTAATGAGTGCACTGTTGGTTCGAAAATTTTGGGAGGGAGACTTCAGCCTGGATGACAAAGAAAGTCGTGTAAGGATGTCCTCTCTTGATGAAGATATTCTGTGAAGAACTTGCAGGTAGGTAGAGATGGGCAAAATTGTACTCTGAGTAAAAAGTACAATTACAGAGTAATTTACTCAAATACTCGCCCAGTTCGAGTATCGAGTACTTTAATCACTACTCGACCTCATGATTGACGAGTACAAAAAGTAATCACCTGTCCTCGTGAGTACTTTCTATTTTCAAATCTACTCAGCAATATTTTACTCTGAGTACTTTTCAAAGTAATCGAGTATTTCATTATAAAAATTACAGGAGTAGAATATTTAATATTTCTTCCATGTTTAAGTCCATTGTTATCTTATGGGGGTATAGTTTTTTTTAAATAGTATCGATATTAATGTAAATCGATAAAATAAAGAATTATTAAAATATTTTGGATTTAATCAACTTTGGGGACCATTTTTTTTTCTACATCACTTGACTTTTATGATAATGCTGTCGGATTTGAGATAGTGACCCCGGGGCCCGACTTTTTGTAACCTTTCGTGTTTAATCGATATCAATGTTGATTATGAGGTTTTGGGGGACACTTTTTATGAAGATGATGTCAGATTTTTTTAATAAAATGCGTCCCCTAAACCATAATAGACGGCCCTGATATCGACTAATTCCAAAAACTGAATCCACTGGGTGCAATCTCAAATCTGACAGTATTTCATAAAAACCGTCTTCCAAAACTTAATTTTTGACCCTGATATCTAGTAAATCAGAAAAGTTACTAAGTTGGTGCACGGGGGCACTATCTGAAATCCGACATCATTTTCTTAAAAAGAGCCCCCCAAAACCTAATAATTGACCCTAATATCGATCAAATCTGTAATGTTACATAAAGTCTGGCCCCGGGGGCCCAATCTCAAATTTGACATCATTTTCATAAAAAGCGCTCCCCAACACCTAATAATTGACTCTAATATCGATTAAATCTGAAATGTTACAAAAAGTCGGGCCCCGGGGGCCCAATCTCAAATCCGTCATCATTTTCAAAAAAAGCGGCCCCTAACAGCTAATAATTGACTTTAATATCGATTAAATCTGAAAAGTTACAAAAAGTCGGGCCCCGGGGTCCCAATCTCAAATCCGACATCATTTTCATAAAAAGCCCCCCCACAAACCTAACAATTGACTTTAATATCGATTAAATCTGAAATGTTACAAAAATTGACTTTAATATCGATTAAATCTGAAATGTTACAAAAAGTCGGGCCCCGGGGACCCAATCTCAAATTTGACATCATTTTCATAAAAAGCGCTCCCCAACACCTAATAATTGACTCTAATATCGATTATATCTGAAATGTTACAAAAAGTCGGGCCCCGGGGGCCCAATCTCAAATCCGTCATCATTTTCATAAAAAGCGCTCCCCAACACCTAATAATTGACTCTAATATCGATTAAATCTGAAATGTTACAAAAAGTCGGGCCCCGGGGTCCCAATCTCAAATCCGACATCATTTTCATAAAAAGCCTCCCCACAAACCTAACAATTGACTTTAATATCGATTAAATCTGAAATGTTACAAAAAGTCGGGCCCCGGGGGCCCAATCACAAATCCGACATCATTTTCATAAAAAGCGCTCCCCAACACCTAATAATTGACTCTAATATCGATTAAATCTGAAATGTTACAAAAAGTCGGGCCCCGGGGGCCCAATCTCAAATCCGTCATCATTTTCAAAAAAAGCGCCCCCTAACACCTAATAATTGACTTACATGACAAAAAATTTAATGGACAAAGGGAATTAGAAAATGCGTTTTTGGAGTTTACCAATTTTAAAGATGGGAAATTCTATTCCGAAGGAATGGAAAAGTTGCCAACACATTGGCAGGAGTGTATTGATAGTAGTGGAGACTATTTTGAATAAATAAAATAGTTGTAAATATTTCTTTTAAACAAAAATCCTGCATTATTTTCCAGACAAACAAATAGTTGATACTAGTTTGATTTTGGATTAATAAAAAACTTATTTTAAGCATTTGGTTTAGTTAATTTAGTTTTAGCAACAAATAATTTATCAATGATCAACTTCACAGATGTTAAAATAACAGTTTAATTAAGTTTTAGTAAATGTCTAATCTGGGTCTGTACAAATTTTTTTTAAGAGGACATCAAATATATATAAATATACAAATTACCAAACATTAAAAAAACAAAATAAAACTAATAAATAAGGAATTACAGAATATGACCGAATCCTAAATCTTGTTTAGAACTTATGCGAGGTTGATAATATAGATGTTTGTTAACAAAAATTCAATTTTTAATCCAAGCTTCATTTTATTAAAATAAAAATTTTAGTACCTTGACATTGGTCCGTGGAATTATGACAATGAAAAAAACAATTCAAAGAGAGCAGATCAATTCATCACAATAGATTTAAGTTAATATCTATAAATATTATAAGTTATAGATGTTAGTGTCGTGGCCAATAGTAAAATTTATATTTATGTATATGTGTCTATGTACTATTTATACGTCGATGTACACCTAATATTATAAATAAATATTAAGGCTTAAATACGTAGTCTATATTACGGATTAAGCAGGCACCCAGTTTTAATGCTAGTCTTGCTTACGTCCTCATCAGGACCAATTCTAAGGCTCTAGTGTGACTGAGGTTGTTTTACCCACATCTGGGGCATCATTGTTCTCCACGAGGACTGCCGTCAACCACATCAATAACTGCATTAAGTTGAAAGGGAAATAAGGCCGGGTGGAGGTGATATAATTTTGATTTCATCATTAACATTATAAGGTGAGTGGTGCTCCTCTTAAAGGACATTTTAGACCCCACGGGTCTCCAGTTTTATTTGTGAAAGAAAAAACATTATTTTTGTAATTAAATACCTCACATTGAGACTGAACTCTTATTTCTGCAGTACTTTATGCCTACTTTATTAAGCACTATCGTAGTATAGTGGCTAGTGCACTACCTCCAATGATGAAGATTTCCAGTTCAATACCCGTTCCACCATAACTCTTTTTTTATTTTCACTATTATGAAATATAGTTTAAATGTATATACATACATATAAATATTTATGTAATGCATTTTAATAGTTCTAAATTAATTCAACATTTAAATTTAATTAATTTGTATTATATAATTGTAATAGATTAAAAACTCACATAAAACATTTTAAATCTAATTCTAAGGTTTTTTTTTTTTTTTTTTTTTTTTTTTGTTAACTGTTCTTTAGGATAAATTTGTTTCTTTTATTATTCTTTTATATTAGAAAAAATATTTTTAATTTATTAATTTGTTATCATGTATTATATCATTTATTATTTCAATACAATAGTAATTACTGCTGTTCGGTATTTAGTTTTTCCTTTTATATTTTTTTGTATTACTAAAATTTGCAAGGCACCAGTGCCTATGGATTAGGTTGCACAGGATTGGTATTTAATTTTTAGAATACCCACTGCCGCCGCAGTTAGCTTAAACTTTTCTCAGTCATGTTTAAAGCCAAGACAAATATATCTTCCCTTTTGCTGACTACAAAAATTGTACCGAGGTTTTACTCCTGATGAATTAAACAACAAAAATATGTCCTTTACAGAATGCAAGATGCCTACAGTTTTATAAGAAACAAAAATATAAGCTTTTAATAAGCATATAAATTAAATACTGGTTCCATACTCATAGAAGGCAAACCAAGTGCATGCATATGGGCCTCTAAGGACTTGCATATTTTGCCACTCCCTTGTGTAAATTCAAGAGACGATTTGGCCTTGATCCTGACAATCAAGGTAGGTACTAATAAGATTAAAATGATAATTGGAATTATTTTTGTTTCTCACAATTTAGACACTGTATATCAATAAATATAAAGACTTTTTTGTTGTGTCAAAAAGATGACTTACTACTTTTAACAGGTGGGGGTAATAAATACCCATCATCTTATGTGGCGTAGCACAGACGCGAGTTAATGAGTTAGGTGAAGCCTAGCTAGAATATATAGCCTCAACAGACTTAGGAATTTTAAATAACGATAGTGAAGCCACTTTTGTGACTAGGGCAAGAAGTGAGGTCTTAGACGTAACACTCCATTCAAGTCAAATACAAAGTCTAGTGAAAGACTGGGTAATCACCTCTGACATTACACTTTCTCATCATAGGTTAATCACATTCAAGATAGATTTGGTACAGCCCCATTTGCCTGTGAAAAGAAATCTGTGAAATACTAATTAGAAAATTTTCAGGGACAGATCAGAAAGCCTTACAAACAACCTATTGTGTGAACAGGCTTTCTATTAGAATCGAGATAGACATCTGTTTTATAGGCATAGGTAAGCCTCCTTGAGACTACTATTGTGGTGGCTTATGAGGAACACTGTCCTTTGAGGACAGAACCAAAGAAAAAAGTCAGATGGTGGTCTCCTCAACTAAGTTACAAAAAGCCACCAGGAAAGCCTATAAAACAAAATTAAAAGGAGATTGAAATCATTATTGTGCCTCCTCTAAAACCTATAAAAGAGGCGCAAACGGGAAGGTTGGTGTAAAATTTGCAATAATGTTGAAAAAAGGCCTCCCAGTTAATAAAGATCCTAAGTAATAGTAATTACCAATTACCAGGCACTTTAAAGAGACCAGATGATACATGGACCTCCAATTCCGAGGACATCAAAACAAAGAGACCTCGATAAATGGGGAAGATTGGATATTGGCTGAAGCAGTCGTTACTGAGGGGGCTGTAGGAGAGCTCAAATTGTATAAGGCCCTGGTACGGATGGTATATTCCCGTATATGCTTAAAGAGGGTCTTAATTCAGCGCAGGTGATGATGGGGTGTCCCAAAGGAGCTGCATCTCACCACTATTATGGTGCCTGATAATGAATGACCTACTAAATAAACTTGAGGAGGCTGGGATTTATAGCCAAGCATTCACGGATGACAGTGCAGTCCAGTCCTCATTACAGGAAAGTTCATAAATACAATGTTTGAATGGATGCAAGTCATATGTAATATTGTTCAGACATGGTGTACTGACTGAAGTACACTTTAGTTAACCCATTGAAGACTGAGTTGATTTTATTCACCAAGAAAAAGTTGGACATCTTCAAGGATACAATCTTCTTTGGTAAGCAGCTTCATTCAGTTAAGACTGTCAAATAACTTGCTATTACTATAAATTTTAAATTAAATTGGGGACCTCATTTGGCAGGTAAGACGTGCTGTAGCCATAACTTGGGGGGGTTTTAACCCTTAAGTTATGCATTATAAACATGAATTACATATGTACAGCAATAATAAGACCTAGAATGTAGAACAATATGGAAGTATGATGTGGTGGACAACCATCAACAAATAAATAAGGCTTCTCATACGCGAATGCTTTATTGCACACATGGGATGGACTATATTGGCATTACAGGGCAGTGTTGAGCAATTACTCGAGTAAATGTCCAGCGTTGATGTCACGAGTGATCACTCTTAGAAGCTTAGCCATGAGTAAATTTGAAAATTACTCATGAAACATTTTTCCTCCATGAGTAAATCACTCGTGAAAAATGTTATCTACATGAGTAAATCACTCATGAAAAATTTTAACGCCATGAGTAATTAAAAAAAAAATGTTTTTATTTTATATAATCTAATTTTTTTTTGTCATCTTTCGGATTTAATCGATATCAGCGTCAACTATTAAGTTTTGGGGGACACTTTTTATGAAAATGCTATGGCTTTTGAGATTGGCCCCCCCGGGCCTCGACTTTTTGTAACTTTTCGGTTTAAATCAATATCAGGGTCGACTTATATGTTTTGGAGAGCGCTTTTTATGAAAATGATATCAGGCATGCACATGCACATACATTGGCTCGCTTGGCTATCGTGCCTCTATATTATGTACAGCTACATGTTTAGAAGTTATCAACTGTGAGAGGGCTAGTATCACTATCTATTCGGATAAGCAGACAGCACTCACTTCAAGCCCTAGAATCACGCAATGTGACTTCCACATTGGTGTGAGAGTGTGAAAAGGCACGAGACACATTGCCATGCTTTAACAGTGTAGAACTAGAGAGGGTCTCTGATTGGTCATAAGGAAATTAAAGGCTATTGTGGAGGTATTTGAACCAGTCTACTTCTGGGAATGAGTGAGAATCCACTTAGATCTTGCTATCAGGGTGGATTTTTTGGCATTCATATATTTTGTTTTATCTTCATTTATTTGTAGACTAATTTGCTCTGCTTCTCTTATCAGAGCCTGAGTGAGTCTCTCAATATCCACATATACCAGGATTTTGTTTCGTTCCAACCCGCAACCCTACATCTTGGTGTGATGGTGTTCTTATCACCTTTTCCAAGATAATGTTAAACAACATTGCTGAGAGTCCATCTCCCTGCCTCAAACCTGAGATTCTTCGTAAATCTTGATCAGTACAATATTAAAGTACTTTAAAATCTCTATAAAAATGGCATTATATATATTTGTTTGATAAATTCAAAGGTTACAGAGATATTTATGTGATTATATTAATTGTATTTCCACTTCAAGCCAAAATTGCCCTAAACTGTGAAATTAATGTTGTTATTAGTAAATATTACCTTTTGAAGTTTAATTCGGGTTTTTAACATTATCGATAGTTCAAATTATTTAAAGTTTCTTTGTTTTGATGATTCTAAAAAGTCATTGACAACAGAATTATATTTGATATCAATCAATGGGGAATTTTGTGATATTGATATGAAGTTTAGATTGACATTGACTTCATACAATTGGTATTATGTGATAGCAGACCTTAAAACCTACAAAAAAATTACTATAAACCATGGTCTGATTTTATACAGAGAACCAGAGAACTTAAATTTTGTAATGATTATATCAACCACGTTTTATGTTGAATAAAAAGAAATAACTAAAAAATGTTTAATTTACGTTACAACCAATTACTTCATAGCAAACTAGATACAATTTACATTAAATGCAAATAAATTCTGTATTTTCTAAAACCATTTCAAGGAAACATTTAAGCAGTTAACCATGGTAAGTCCGGTTAAACAAAGTTAAACTATGGTAAGTCCAGTTTTCATAAAATCAAGGATTCTTTGAGATTTTTTTAGAATCCTTCAAGTGGACTGAAAATACCACACTTTTTAAAAAACTTTCTTGTTTTGTGAGCTTTAAATCTATATAAAGTTGAGGTTTACGACACAGTAAGTTGAGATTCGTCTCAAGCTGAGTAAAAATATAATCATAATTTTACCGTACTAACAATTTTTATACTCAATTGGGGATGAAATCTCAACTTACCCTGTCACAAACCTCAACTTAATTAATATAGATTTAATGACTGTCGAACAAGGAAGTTTTTCTAAAAGTGGGGTATCTTCAATCCAGTTGGGGTTATAAAAAAATTATGAAGAATCCTTGATTTTATGAAAAACTGAACTCACCATAGTTTAACTACTTAAAAGTCCCCTTTAAATACTTTTAGAAAGAACATAATTTACTTGCATGTAATGTAAATTTTATCTAGTTTACTATGAAGTAATTGGTTGTAACATAAATTAAAAATGTTTTTAGTTATTGATTTTTTTTCCAACATAAAACGTGGTTGACTTAAAAATTACAAAATTTAAGTTCCCTGGTTTTCTGTATGAAATCAGATGATGCTTCATTATAACTTGTTTGAAGGTTTTAAGGTCCGCTAACACAAAATTCTCCATTGATTGATATTGAATACAATTTTGTTGTCAATGACTTTTTAGAATCATCAAAACAAAGAAACTTCCAATAATAATTTGAACTATCGAAAATGTCAAAAAAATGAATTAAATTTCAAAATATCATCTACTATGAACAACATCAATTCCATGGTTTGCGGTAATTTTTGTTTAAAGAGGAAATACAATAAATATAATCTCATAAATATCTGTAACAACTGATTTTATCAAAAAAATGAATAGTGTCGTTTTTGCAGAGATTTTAAAGTACTTTAATATTTACCAGTTATTAAGGGGAGGGTAAAAACAATTTCTTACAAGTTTTATCTTTATTTTTGGAATGTTGGGGTCAATCCATAATCTTACTGAACTAGATAGCTTCTTATATCTTATATGGAGCTTTGATGCTTCTATTCTATCAGCATGTCGATTTAGCTTTTTGAATCTTTTAACATAGATTTTCGAGCATGGGAACTTAGTACTGGTGACCATTGGACCCTGGTCTACTGCCAGACAAATGGATCTCACTCCCTAGTCATCGCTGGATTTGTGGAAGCTCTGGCCTCCAAAAATGGGCCTAAATTAAGTTTCTTGACCGATTTTGGCATTGAAGTCCCATGACTAAATTTATGTCAGATTGTAGAAATCATCCTTCACCTCATTATTGTTTTCTTCAATTGGTTAATCATGATGATAATTATTGTTTACATTAATAATCATGATATTGAACCAACAACCTCTAACACATAGTACACTTATCCTCTTGTAAATTGGAATGAAGTTTATAACTGATTTGCCGTTTTTATTAATGACCTCTTAACATCTTTCTAACAATTTCATTATTTTGCTCTCCTAAAACATCTGGGGCTTAGAAGTGAAAAATTAATTGAGATACATTTTCACATTTCTCTCATCAACAAACGATTTCCCATTGAGGGATTTTCGGAGAGACCAGAATAAGTGGTAAGGGGATGGTGCAAGGTCTGGTGGAAGGAAACATTCCAGCCAAGTTACACTAACTTTTACTGTATGATTATTCTGGATTACGGTCTGGCCTTGTCATGGTATAATACAACATCTTTGCGATTGACTAGTTCTGGGTGTTTCCGTCGCAATGCTCTTGCTTCAATTTCGTTAGCTACGTGCAGTAGATCGAATCAATCCTTTTTCCTTGTGGAAGCAACTGGTAAAACCGAACATCATGATAATTTAATCATATAAACAGCAAAATCTTTTCTGGCCTTCGGAGTGGCATTAAGCGGCCATCAGCTGTTGTCCACAATCTCCTGTCCACTACATTATCGTAGATGATCCATCCGTCACTATTCGATTGAGAGTGGATCCGTTTCATGCCAGTTCAGAAGAGAATGGCAGATTTATGTTTGGTTGGCCAGATTTGTCTCAGCCAATTTGTGTCTTTAAATTAATTTTAATAATTTAATAACTCCAAACCCTATTTTCAGTGTCTCTTCAATTTCTCGTACCTGTAGCGACCAGTCTTGTTAGATTAAAGCCTTGATATCATTCAAATCAACTACTGTGGGCTGACCGCTATGGGGTGCATTTTCGAGACTTGCATCTGAGAGATGAAATTTGGCAAACCATTTATACGTTCTGTCAAGGCATTGTCCCCGTATACCTTACATATCTTTCGGTAGACCTCCGAAGCTCACTTGCCTTTTTTAAAATTAAAAATACCAAAAATGCACTTTATCATTTGACATATTTACTACGTTGTAGCACAAACTAATCTAATGCCAATGAAACCAAACAACAGTTTTGAAGAGCGGACTTTGTCCTTTCCAATAAGTATTATTAATGTCAGATAAGGCAAAGAGAACTGGAGATATCTGAAAGCAATTCGCACTACTAACAAAAATCGAACGAAATTATGGAACCAAACAATATAAATCCAGTGCCGGCTATCCCATTTTTATTTCTACCAGTGTAGAACAGTGTGTGACCATCTATAGTGGTTTCACCAACCTCTGGTCATCTTGCCTTTTGAATAGCTACTAATGGTATGCTGTACTTTTTTACTTTATTCACTACCATGTT